ACAGAGGCGCGAATGGAAGAGCGTTTAGCGCGCGGATCGGCCGCTCTACCGAAACGAGGAGGTTGATGATCGGTAAAATCGGTAAAACTCTCACCCTCTGTTTCCTCGAATCGCAAGTTTTTCTTTCTCTCCCCCTTCCCGCGTAGTAATATAACTCGACGCGTTGTTGCATTTCTCTCCGCCAAGGGACGGAGAGACCGAAGAAAATATAAAAAAAGAAGAAACGAAAAACGAAAAAAAAAGAAAAAAGGAAGCGAAACTTTTTTCCTCCATAGTTAAAAGCGGGTTGCGCGATAAGGGGTGCAATTACTTATCGACCGAGTAATTGTCCTGCTGGATTATAACTATCGAGAAAAAAGGCACGCCGCGAGGGTACACGCGCATGAAAACATGGCGAAAAAAATGGCGAACGCCAACGTATCAATTTACTCGGAAACTAGTTATCCGCGCTTCCCTCCGCTTCGCTATATATATACACTTAAATGGATTGGAGGGACGTGGCGGTTCACGAAAACTCGAACGATGCGTTGCTTCGAGGACGAGACGTATTCATATTCATAGGTGTTACTAGGAATTCCTGGGATTTCGGGATTCAGACACGCACGCACGCTTTCCTCTCGCTTCCTCTGGGCTCACGTGATCCACCGTAATTTCGGGGGGATCGTGTCTCGCGTGCCGTGACTTTCATTATTCGATCCGTTCAGGTTCCTGCAGATTTTCACCGTGTTGCGTCCCCCTCCGGGACGGGAGGGAAAAGAGAAACGATTAAATCGTTGGAAGGGAATGAAAGGAACAGAAGCCGGTTTCGTGACCCTTTTTCTGGATGGTTGGATATCGTGGTTGGGCGCATAAATTGAACGTGTTTTTTGATTGCGATTATTCGGGGTGGTTAAAGATTAATAACCGGCAATTTTCGACACTTCTCTCTTAAGGGAAAATTGGCTTGACGAAGGTTATTTTGCTAAATTACTTGGAAGACGATCGCCGAGTACGTAATTTCATTTTAAAAAGATGATAGGTTTGAGATGATGGATTAAGGAACTAGGGGGGTGATCGCAATTCTTTAGCGTCGAATTTAGTTGTCGCGTTTCGTAACATTCAATTACATTACGAACAATTTTTCAACAAATTTTAAACGTTTACCAATTATCTATATTGAAATTCGAAAGAAGAAGAAAAAAAAAGAGGAGAGTCTTGTAATTTCAATAATTCTGACAAAGAATTATCGATCGAAATCCCGAAATGCTTGCTTTTTATCCATTTTTATCGACATTCTAAACGAAATTAAAGAAATCCATTACGATCCGTACGATCATATCGAAACGACTTGTAATAATCTCGTACATAATTAAAATACGCGTTTAAAAAAAAAAAATTAGGTCATCGAAACGAAAAGAGCGAACGTTCACCGTCAGAACGTGGAGAAGCGGCAAGCGGCGAATCAACGATAATCAAATCGTTTCGCGAGAGGAAACAGTTGGAACGTAGGAACAGATGTTGGAGGATAGTAACCTCGTTCGAGATCTCGTACGATTTTCGTATCGACGAAGTCGTATCGATCCGGATAACGAGCGGACGCGGTAACGAAGCGGAGGATCGAAATTGCGGAGAATAATGACACAAGAGGAGGGGAAAGGGGAGCAGAGCGAAAGCGTAACCGCGAGAAATATCCGAAAACCCAGTACCGCTCGTAATCGGATCTTCAAAAAGGGAAACAAATGGATCCAATTAACGACGTCCATACGTGGAATATTGAAAATATCGGGCAAAGTAATTAAAATACACACGGCCCGATGGCTCGTTCGTTCGATCCCTTCAACAAATCGATCCCCAACGTTCTCCTCGTGCGCGCGCGCGAACTTTCGACGACGCGGAATCGAATCGAACGTGAAAAATAATATCGCGGTGTAATAATATCGCGGAGATGAATGAACGAGTAGCCATACCATTTAGACGACAAGCAAATGGTGACGACGCACGATCATTTCCTTTGAGCATCTTTTCGAACGGCGTGGAACTACGATGGAAAAACAAACTGTCCCTGTCAGCGAGGGACCGACCCCACCGATTTATATCGGCCTCTATGAATTATCGATCTATTTGCGGCTCTCACATTTTTGCCGTGTTTTCATCCCCCCGCTTCTCCTTGCGCTCTATTCTTTCGAGGTTCTCTATTTTTTTTTTCTCTCGTCACTTCAGGAATAGTTGGGAAGCGTAGATGAAATTTTTCGAATAATATATAGGCGGAGATTCTTGTCATTCTGTCGTTGTTTTTATTAATGGACGGTATATTTAACGATGGGACGTTTTTTAAGCATTTTGAATTCGAAATGCGATGAGCTGCGATTGCTTCCACGAACGATTGAACGAAACTCGAAGCTTGACAAGCGAAGACAGTGAAATTTCGGCGATGTTGTCTCCGTGTTTCGATTCACCCCGTTTAGAAACGCGAAAATAAAGCTGTCGGGTCAGGAACAAAAATAGGGACTTGCGCAACAAAGCGGTTTAGAAATTGGTCGATCCGTGACCAGCGAGTTACAGTGATTCCGGGAATAGAAGGCCGAGGATCGGAAGGAGTATCGTGGAATTCGTGAAATCGCGAGCACGATCGTCATGGGATTTATTTGCCTATCATCGATTATCGATATTCTGCCTCTAGTTTCGGAATCCATTTCCTCGAATTCGTTTCCTATATATCGATGGATTTTCCGGATAAAATTTCTGTTGGAAAGAATTTCTTCGTCTATTCAACTTCCTATTTTTGTCTTCTTCTTCTTCTTCTTTTTATTTTCGAAAGAATCCGTCCTTGGACTCGTGGACATCGAACCAACTACCTACGTGTTTTTACCGTTGCTTTACACGCTAATAACATCTGGTGGATATCTGTTCCATCCAGTCGTATACAATTTTTCAATTTGGATCGATGGATTCGAAATGGAATTTGTGCTCTTGTTGAAATCTTGTTGCTGGATTCTGAGTTAATAAATCCTTCTCGACCTTAAAACTTGGATAAACGAAAGAAATATATAACGAAGAAGAATTATTTTAAGAGAAAAAAAAAAAAAGGTAGGAGTGATTTAAAGGGAAAATATAAATATTAAACGTTCGTATGATTATCTGAACCCGTTGAAACGATTTCTGTTTAATGCTACGTATTCTTCAACGAGTAAAATTTTCTCCTCGCGAAATTATAATATGAACGAACGATATAATCATAATTTTTAAAAAAATAAAAACAATTTCTCATCTCGATACGTCTCGACAACAAGCTCTTCTGTTTTTTTTATGAAAAAAAAAAAAGCTGCGCGAATACTCGAATGCTTTCTAAACTTTTTTTAAAGCAACGAGTTTAAAACGCGTTCCACGTACTCTGATAAGCCGCAACAAAACGCAACAAGAAAAGCACTGCAAACTAGCCACTCTAACCAAGTCGTTCACCCGATACAAGCATTTCGCGTAATAGTTTAATCGTTAATGGTGGTCGGCCTTCCTTCGAGTTCCGGTTGAAGAGTAGCTCTCTCGCGTTCCCTCGTTCCCGAGGATGAGTATGAATCGAACCGCAACGCCGACGTTGAATCGGAGGTCGTAAAGATAAACTGATTCGCCATTCAAGCGATCCAAACGTTTATTATTGAACACGTAGTCGGACTCGGGGCGAACATCCAGATATTTAGAGCGTTTCCAGGTCTGAGTTGTTCCTCGCCACTCCAGCTGTTCGCATCAATAATATCCGGCGAATTTTAGATAGATTTTAGATTTAGGAGAATTTATCGTTTTATTATATATACCAAAGCGCGACGAGATTTGTTTAATTCTCTAATAAAAATATAATTCGACTTCCATCTCTTACGAATATATTAATATTTTGACGAAAGGATTTTTATGTCTTTTA